GTTAGAAGATCAATGGTTGTCAGGGGTGGCGGGGGAGGGGATGAAAAAACAAAAGCACGAGATTTTTAGGGCAGTGAAAATACTGATACCATAATGGCAGATACGTGCCATTTTACATTTGTCCAAACCCACAGAATGTACACCACCAAAAGTGAGTCCTAAAGTAAACTACGGACTCTGGTTGATTATGATGTGTCCGCGGAGTTTCATCAATTGTAACGAACGTCCCACTCTGGTGGGGGATGCTGACAACGGGGGAGGCGGTGTGAGCGCAGGGACAGGGGTATATAAAGTATTTCTGTACCTTCTCTTCAACTGTGCTGGGAACCTGAAACTTCTCTGAAAAAATAAAGTCTTTCTTTTTTTAATGTTTATTTATTTATCTTGAGAGAAAGAGCATGTGCACAAGCGGGAGGGGGATCAAGAGTTGGAAGACACCCAGGTGCGCCCCCCCCTTCAAGTTTCTTTTTTTTTGACATTTTGTTTATTTTTGGGAGAGAGAGAGTGTGTGTGTGTGATTGGAGAGGGGCAGAGAGAGAGGGAGACACAGAATCTGAAGCAGGCTCCAGGCTCTGAACTGTTGGCACAGACCCTGACGCGGGACTCGAACCCACGAACCACGAGATCATGACCTGAGCCGAAGTTGGCCGCTTAACCGACTGAGCCACCCAGGCACCCCAACGCCCCCCTTTTTAAAAAGAGTTCTCTGAAAGAGAAGTAGGTGCATCTCATACAACCCATCCCATTCAAAATCCCTCAGGGGTCCCCCAGGGCTCAAATAACCAAATGCCTTTCGGTGGCCTCATCAGGCTCTGTGCCACCAGCCTTCCTGGCTCCCCCATCACATCCCCAACCCTCCCCACCTGGCCACCAAGCTCTTGCGGCACTGGCCCCCTCTGTCCCTCCTCAGGCCTCTATCCCCTCTACTCCAATGATCCTTTATCTGACCCCACAAACCTGCCTTCGCAAAGTCCCTCCCTGGGCAGATGGCTTGTAGTCCCTCCACCCCTCTTCCCTGTCCTGTCACCTTGTGTACGTCCTTCGTGATTCTCATTGCAACCTTCAGTCACTACCTGCTAAGCAGTTCAATGATCTCTCGTGAAAATATACGCAACAAATGTAAACCCCAGTACCTAACAATATCTTTGGCACAGAGCAGATACTCAGTAAAGATTTGCTGATTGAATAAATAAGACGTTAATTTCAGGTCTTACTGCAAAACAATATTCTCAATCCAATCTTTTTTTTTTTTTTTAATGTTTACTTTTTGAGAGAGAGAGACAGAGAATGAGTAAGGGAGGGCAAAGAAAGAGAGGGAGACACAGAATCCGAAGCAGGCTCCAGGCTCCAAGCTGTCAGCATAGAGCCTGACACTGGGCTCGAACTCACAGACCGTGAGATCATGACCAGAGCTGAAGTCGGACGCTTCACCAACTGAGCCATCCAGGTGCCCCTCAACCCAATCTTTAAAATCAATAATGCTTCCTTGGTCACAAATATTTCCATTAGAAGTACAAAACATCAGTCTACAACATTCTCCCAGTGAGGATGCTTCTCCCCACGATGGCGCCTACCATCAACCCCATACACTGGAAGGGTGTCAGCCGCTCTCCATGCTGACTGACAGCAAGCACCCTGATGCCACCTTGGTGGGCCGCTTTTCAAAACTGGAGCAAGGACTACAATGCACAGTCTACACCATTCACTCAGTACAGGAACCCTGCACTGCCAGAGCACTCCACAACTCAGATGCTTTAAGGACTGTCTCCAAAATCTCCAGGAAGACAATTAGTATCCCTGTTGTACAATCTATTTTTGAAGTCTGGCTACAGCATCCATCACTCCTTCAAGTGTTAAAATCTCATGGCTGAGCACAATGGGAATGAAGTCATTTATCTCCCAGACGAATGTCACTGCCCTGCTGCCGTGCCTGTTGGCTGGCTGGCCGGTGCACACAGGGTCTAGCCTCACGGAAGCGTGGAAGGAGAACATTTTTTAAAAAGATGTGTATTGGGGCGCCTGGGTGGCGCAGTCGGTTAAGCGTCCGACTTCAGCCAGGTCACGATCTCGCGGTCCATGAGTTCGAGCCCCGCATCGGGCTCTGGGCTGATGCCTCAGAGCCTGGAGCCTGCTTCTGATTCTGTGTCTCCTTCTCTCTCTCAGCCCCTCCCCCGTTCATGCTCTGTCTCTCTCTGTCCCAAAAATAAATAAACGTTGAAAAAAAAAATAAATTAAAAATAAATAAATAAAAAGATGTGTATCTAGGGGCGCCTGGGTGGCTCAGTCGGTTAAGCGTCCGACTTCAGCTCAGGTCACGATCTCGCGGTCCGTGAGTTCGAGCCCCGCGTCGGGCTCTGGGCTGATGCCTCAGAGCCTGGAGCCTGCTTCTGATTCTGTGTCTCCTTCTCTCTCTCAGCCCCTCCCCCGTTCATGCTCTGTCTCTCTCTGTCTCAAAAATAAATAAAAACATTAAAAAAAAAAAAAAAAAAAAAA